TACAGATTTCCCCGGCAAATCCACAAAGGTGGGACCAATAAATCGTCCGAGTTTACAAAGTTTACACAGGAAATCTGATCCAGGAAAATGTATTGATTTATTAGAAAGTTTTAACTAGTAAGCAAGAATATGACGCTCTCGCCATTTTGCATACCTCGATCTTCTGCCCAATTGTGAAGCGGACGTACGTGCTCTTGGCCTCTTGTCTGTTCTTGGGTTGCGAGGGCATGGGGAAATTTGTAAATGGCGGCACCTTAGTACGTGTAGGTAGACACTGCAATACATTATGTTCATCCTGAGCCTTTCATTTGCTCCTGTAATGCAGCAACTTGCACATGCATTGCATTTCCTGCGAGATGACCAATTCCCGCCAAATTTAAATTAATTCAGTACGCGTCCTGTCTAGTGCTGCCCATCCCTCTTCGCGTCTGACCACTGACTGCACGAGGAATATCAACGACTGCAGTTGTGGATTTGCCGGGGAATTCTGTACGGTTGGTTGTACCGCACGCACGAATGTACCTGCTCATATGTTGTGAAAAGAAACGCACATGACGAATGTACCTGCTCATACATGTATGTGTGGAAGAAACGCACACGCCAAACAGGTATTTTGGAGATGGAATTGGGTTCGACCAGCTCGGGCACGACGTAAAGTAACTTTACTTGAGTTGCTTGGGGCATCATACAAGTGAGACAGCTGTAACACTAGGATATGCAGTAATCCAATGGGCGCTTTCCACAACCCTTCTTAAAGTTTTTTGGTCGGAGGGTCGCCCCTCATAAAACTCGCCATTAAACTTCGGAAAAAACAGCATTTTTTGATTTGACCAAACTTTGGTCAAATCAAACTTCACTTTTAAACACTTTTATCGCCCCTTAATTCGACCCCTATCCTGCAACTGATTTAAAATATATCTTCGTTTTACTATTGGTGATTTTTAATTATTGAATGGCTTTCCTTGAAGTAAAACGGTACCTCCGATACTGCGTCTTTTCTGTTACTCAAATAGAGGTCCGATTTAAATTTTGTGGTTACGTTTTGTATGATACGGAACATGACTATACTACTTCGAAGTACTAGTATGCATGTAGCCTGTCTGTTTGTTGATAAACCTACTATTAAGTACTAAGTATCACGTTGATAATATCAACGCGACGAGTTGTCGACGCTGCTACACCACCGATCTTGATGGTGCTTCATATTGTATGGAAAGCTGCGCATTGCAAGCATAGGTCGACTGAGTCGATCCTCATTCTGAAACCTGCTGCATAGCCCTCAAGTCCGAACCAATCAGCCATGCGTCTCTCTCGTGTGTTAGTTGTAATTGCGGCTACATTCCTGGCTACCACCGACGCGCTCTCGACGAACACGGGTATACACGCTGTTAATGTGATTTCGCACAACGGCCCAAGCCAGCGCCTTCTAAGAAGCGACTACACGACAGCTGAAGAGGACGATGATTCTGAAGCAAGAGCCTTGAATCTGGAGAAGATGAAAACCATGTTGGACGCTGGGATGAGTGTTGACGATTACGCTTTTAAGCTCAAACTTACTGACAAGATTGCAGCAGCGGCTAACTCTGCAAAGGAGATGGCGAAGCTCGCCGAAACTCATAAGTTCAAGAAGCTCCTGTTATACCTCAACTATGTGGCTGAACACACATAGTAGAGTGAAGAACACTTCGACATAGCAGTTTCACTGTCGAATCTAACAGAAGAAGCTCTATCTGGATACGAACTACTACGCATTCTGAAGTGGTCACAACAATAACAAAAAAAACTAAACATTGGCCTAGTACATTTTCCACAAAGGGTTATATTTCTTTTATCATGTGTAGATACCTTAAACTCATCGAGAGGATCATCAGAGCATCTTCACCAGTGCTACTACGTATGTGTGGTTTACTCTCCTGTGCACTTTACAGCAGGGTCAATCGCTGAAATCGATGTTTCCACCACGAAACCTATGCAATTTCTCTGGTCACGGTATATATTTAGAACGCCGTTGACCGACAGCGTCAACGCAGCGATTTAATGCAGGCAACACTGTGGCGTTAATGGCCAGCCAATCTCAGCACCGATCCTGGGGCCAATCTTAATGCTGATCTCCTGGTGCACGAGGCCCCAGCGAATGACAAGGCAAGGCGCGTGTTGTTGGGGGGGG